ATGCAAACACATATCTTTTGTTGATACTGCATGTCACTAATAATATTTACCTACCCTCAGAGCTGAAGTATCACAAACCAGATGCTTTTCACCTACAACTTAACCTAAGCAGACATTTTGTTTTTATTTGAACCCTCAATAGAGTCTTGACTTCTTCCCCACACACCCTGTAATGTACTAATTAATTCATCTGAACACTTCTAGATGCACCAATTTCAGCTCTGGTAAGCAGATACAAAGTGGTGCATCTGAAGGAGCAACATTGGAATACGCTTTTGATGTCAGTTATACAACATGATTAATTATCATCCCCACAGCATTTAATGAGAACCGTGTTTTTTTTTTTCTTTTTTGTTTGCATAATTTAAGACCACAATTTCCATCTCCATGTCCACTCATGCTTTTTATACTCATTATCCGAGGAATGAGGAGAAGAGAAAAGCAGAGGAGGCAGGAAGATCTACATAATTTTTGTTGGATTGTTTTTAAGAGGATTGTGGTCATGGAAGCACGATAAACCGATGTAGCAGAGGACAAACAAAGCTATGAGGTAAACATAACAGTGTGTGAGCTAGGCGAGAGTTAAATGAGGATGATATGTGGGAGAGACGCCTACTTAAGGTGCCATCAGACTAAGATTAGATTCAAGTCCTGTAAAACACCAGCAGATGCTGTAAAGCTCCAGATGCTGTACTTAGCCTCTTAGACCCAGTCACATGAGTTGACCTGGACAATCTGGGCACGAGGGGAGAGGAAAGCAGGACTTATCATAGAATGTGGGGCGGAAGGGTAAAAGGGGGGGGGTGGGGGTCCGAGGTATGTAGTGCATTAATTATGACATAGATGTGGTCCTGCAGACATACCAGTACAACACACAGCCATCTGGAGCAGAGGAGCATCCCAAGCTTCATTAAGCGATACACAGGGCAGCAAAGTCAGCGGTGTGTGGAGTCATGCAGGAGATAAGCTGCAGTAAATGCAAGAAAGGATCTCCTAGATTAACTTAAGTGCAGTGTTATCATCACACGGCTGAGAACAGAGCCAGTCATTTATCCCATAAACCTGCTACAAGAGCAGCAAGCTTTTAATGCAAAACAACGGCATCTCACCCTAATTTGATTGCAAATATTTTAAAAGATTTTTAATAATGGCAATATAAACGTGTTGATTTCAAAGCTATTCAGAAGTGAGTTGTTAGATTAAAGTTGATTGTGAACAGTTTAAATGACACACGACATGGGCGTGAGGTCGTGTACAAAAAAGATTGTACTTTTTTATATGAACTCATGTCTTTTTATCTGTAACATCCTGTCTAAAACTGGGAACATACTATCAATAGCAGTTCATTAACATGTTTTGGTATTCAACCATAAGACAGTAAATATTCAATTTTTAGATTTAGAAATAATTAAATTTAACATGTGAAATATATTTACATTTAACCTATATGATGTATATTTTACCAGTTATTTCCAAATATTTCCTGTCATATCTCACTTGAGTTAGCTCAATTGTGGGGAATTTTGAAATACCTTGACCTATACAAGAACCTGTCACATAATAATACATCTAGTGGAATATGGGATCATGTTGCTTTTGTTCTGCTTAAAGTCAAATATATAAAAGGTAAATCAAATTCGAAATTCTAGAAAGTAAGACAAACGTGTAATGGTTTTCCATCAGCCAGCTGACCGACAATCCAGGATAAAGGCTGTGGAAAGAAGGCGTCAAATATGCTTGAAACAACGGCAAAGAAATTATAGTCCCTGCTTCCGCTTTCCATTGTTGAATGATGGCATAGACCGGTGGCATCAAGTTGCCGTTTCAAACTTCATAAAAACGTTCGATACTAGTCTGAAAACACCCCTCAAACAAACCTAAATGGAAATATAGCTTGATGATAACATTTGGGGAAGAATGTTATGCAACCTTAGATTCTCATTGTAACTAATGTTACATAATAATATAGTAGGCAGAGATATTTCAGTTTAGACTGAAGCATTTGTGTTAAATTGTTGCCAGGCTGAAAACGTGCCATTTTAAAATCTCCAACTGTAAACATAAACATGACATGCCAATTATGAGCCGCTTTCAATGAAATGCTTCGCGTTTCTGGCAATGTATTAGGCAACTTGCATTAATAATGCAACTTGTTAAAGTGATTGTAAAGATCGACGTGCCAAAGGGCGTCTTTGCTGCCAAGATTGAAGCGAATGTTACGGTTGTTTGCAGTCCCAGCGAGTCAACTCCTCTCTAAAGCTCAAAGTCAAGCGGCTCGGCTAACGTTAGCAGCTGCTTTAACGTCAACATACAGATGTTGCTGTAACGGGCGTCAATGATGATAGTAACGATTCTAGCGCTTAAAGAAGCTTCCGTTCGATAGCAAAGCCATTGAATCAATCAAAAACATACATTCTGACGTTATTTAAGTCTTACCTCTCCGTGCAACTGGGGGCGTAAATTCAGAAATGTGAGGTTCCTTCTTCCAGCTGAGGTGTTACAGTAGCTGCTGCCAGCTAGCTAGCTTTGAGACAGACGGAAAATGTAGCAGACTGACAGCCGACGTTGTGATGGAGCGGTCGACAGCGCAGGTCCAGAGCTTCACACGAAGGGAAGACTGACAGCGTGCAATTATTTACATAACGTTGAGAAATGCACTCGCAGAAATTAGATTTATAAACAGAAGCAGTGTATGCTTTCCCTCTTTGTTTTCATTTTTCTCACGACTTCAGGAAAATACTTCATGGTGCTTAATTTCTGATCTACACAGCACGGCCAACACCGCCCCCTGTTGACTAGCTGGAGAATTGCACTCGTTGACAATGTATTTTTAACCTACATTTAAATGGTTAAAGACTGAAGACACACTTTCAATTAATTTCAGTCTGTCAAAGCCACAATACACTGAACTTTTATGTTTCAACAGATGAAATAATTTTGGCTACCTTAATGTTTTGGAGCAATCTTGCTGAAATTAAAGTAGTCTTTAATTGATGCTTGTCTATATTAACATTTTTAAAGGATTCTTCAAATCATTGGACTTTTTTGTTATGAACTTCAGTTTTCTTTGGGTTTTACATCATTAATCAGCAGATAATTTTGCAGTGGAAGGACAGAATTTGGTTTTATTGTGTTTTTCTTTTATATATAGTCTGCATTTGTATTCTTCCCCTTGTATTGTTATAACCCTAAATGAGATGCAGTACATCCTTTGGAAGCAACATAAGCAAGTATAGTTCATACCGGTATAACCTTATTTAGATTAAAATAGTATTTCTGTGAAGCCACATTAGTATTTCAGATCAGCCAACAAGATTTAGCCAATCTGACGACTATACCCGATTCGTTGATTTTGTCCACAATTTCACAGCTAAAACTCTTGGTTCGCTGTTGTTTACATGGTAAGTTTAGCTTTTCAAATGTGGAATATAAATGAAAGCAGCTCTTACCAAAATATCAAGTCTCGAAGAAACAAGCTATGAGTTGTAAACGCAAAGATGTTTATTTCCATACAAAATAAAAATCAAAGTGAGGAACTGCAAAAGCACAAAATACCAGAGAATACCAAATTATTCCAAAGAACAAAGGAAAGTTATCGCCTCTTTTGGAAGATGTTCCCTCTTCCAATTCCACCACGACCTCGCCCTCTTGCAGCCACTATAAAAAGGTAAAGAAAACAGCATTTTAACAAAAATGACCAAAAAATGTGTGGTTAGAAAATAATCACAAAGGAATCCCAAGCACAGCACAAGTACAGAAAAGAAGCATGAATAGGAGATAAACATGTATCAAGTAATTGCATAAAACACCATGCAGCTTGGATTTTGTTACACAAACAAAAATATTTTGATCAATAAACAAAATTTAAAAACTTATTGTTGACCTTAACCGTCCCACAAATGCATCAAGTATATTTAATACCATTTTAAACCTGTACAAAGTAGAATTTTCTGGAAAGAGTTTCTCCACTCACCTTGTGCTTTTAGAATGGCAGCTTTGCCTCTTCCCGCACCAGAACCCTGGTTCTTGTTCTTCATGCTCTTTAACATGGGAGCATTCTTTAACATATCAGGTAGGATCAGAAAGCGGATCTTGCTTCCTCGGATGTAGACCTGTTCCAACTGCGCGACGCGACCATCACGATAGGTCACGGTAATGTTGGACATCTATTGGAAAAGCAAAAAAAGAAAGGAAGGAAAGCTTTAGAAGTTTAGCATGTGTGCCATTATGCAAGAATGACAACTGAAATTTTAATATCCCACTTATTTATTTGCGCCACTTCTGCAAATCCAGCAAAATTAATGCACAAAATGAAAGCATTTCACAAACTTATACCAGCATCATTTGTAATTATTTTCCCAACTTTTCTTTCTCATTGCTCTCTTTGATCCATTGCAGCTTGAGAGTCATCATTAGTGTCAAATGCGGGCAATTGCTGCAACAAGACTCGATTCAACAAGGTGGATATTGCATTGGCATGCAAGAAGTGAGAGAATACATTAGCTAATACCACATTCCAACTGGTTATTAGAACTTTTAATATTTCACATTAATATTATGACAGCACAAAATGCACAGTATATTGTGCAACCCTACTCTACGCGTTTAGAAAATGTGATCAGAGAATAAAAACAACACACTACTTTTAGAACGGTAATAAACGATATGGTCCAGGTTTACTAAATGCAAACTGACATTATTCCCTCCATTTCATAGCTTAGTGTTATAAAGGCATCAAAGTAACAACACTACAGCACACTATAAGGATTTATTTGGCGTAGTGAAGAAATACGTCATGACCCATGAATAAATCAAGCACTAAAGAACATCCCTGTAATGGGAATACCGTGTTTGTGCTCATAAAAATGCTGTTAACCCAATGGTTAATCAACAGAAACAAAAAATAGAACAATGTACCTCTTATATGTCACAGTTGGTGACCATTTATTACCAGACAATCAAAAACACATATTTCACTTTGAGATATCTCACCTTGAGTATAAAATGCACCAGTCATTTCCAAGTACAAAATGCTTATGCTAAAGGAATGATGAGTTAACCAACCCAAATGGTAATGAGAACTAGAGCTGCATTATATTAGAAAATCTTGCAAAACCAATAATAATGGTAAAAATAAATGTGATTGTGAGATCAGCTGCAGCACACATATTTCTATTATCTTTTTTTTCCTTAATTTCATCACTGATGCATACACTCTGACCTTTACCATTATGGGTACTGGTATTTGTGTCTGATGTTGGCATCTGCTTCCATTTCTAGCTAAATATAACATTAGCAGGTAATAATTACTGCACTGTAAATAGTCTGAGTTGATGTAAATATTGTGCACACTGATACTAGGATGACTAAACACTGTGCAAGCCAAATGAGAAGCAAAATTAATGGATATAGGATGTGAAACAAAGTTTCCCTAATAGAATATAATAAGACTTGCTGGATTTAAGATCTGTATGAAAATAAGCTGATGGCATGCTTTACATGCCATAAGAAATTCTAGTAGGTTAGGACAAAATAACTATGTCCAATACAAAATTGGGGTACAAATCAACAAAGAGGCAAAATAACCCTGAGTCTTAAGTCACCGGACATAATTTGCTGTTGCTCTAACATATGAAGGCCACCTATCAAGATAGTCAAACCAACCTGACAGTTCATGTTGTCCTCAGCTTCAATCAGCTTGCCTCTGTACACCTCTCCTGTGTTGGTCTCACAGGTCACAATGTGTCCCTCTGCCTCATGCAGGACCTTGATCGGCACACCAATGGACATCTTTTAAGTCTTCCTGGAACACAACACAAAGCAAAAACTTTACTATATCTGCTGCTATGTTATAAAATCCTTTATTCGGTTCTCTAAAGAAATTCAATGCATCAGCAGCAAGGTGACAGGCCATTGGAAAACACACACACACCTCTACAAATTGGTAGTAATGAATAAAAAGTTAACAGTCTGTACAGAAATGTCAAATATACAGCAGAAATCCATAGCTACAAAAATACATGCAGATTCTACAAAAAGATTATTTAAAAAAAAATAAAGTTACCTTTGCATACAACAACAAAAAGTGCGACAGCAAATGTCAAACTGCTGACTTTAAATTACTGATACTTCTAAGCAGAAGTTGGCTGCCAAATTTGTCCTGGAATATCCAAATGAGGCAGCAACTCCACTAATGAACATGCACCTATATATTTTTTTTTCTCATATGCAAAATATATGGACTAAAATATTGAATTAAGTAGTTAAAGTCAGGGTTACTAACTCGTGAGTGAAAATTGGAGTTTGATAAAATTGTACGGGCAGTCTGTCCAGAAAAAAAGCTCAAATTTGTGCCCAAGCAGCGCAGAATAAACACATAAAGACCAATTTTAAGTTACAATTTTATTCACACTGTTAATACATGTCCTGAAATAAGTGCAAACACCACGAATGCATAAAAGCGTATAAATGTTGCTACCAACAAGAGGTCATTCTTTATGGAGAATAGGATTTATTGTTTCATTAGCAAATATTGAAGAGCCACCTCAGTTCTACCATGAAAAAGGTTGAATCGTTCAAAAATAATAATCACTAATACTACTTTTTAGCATGAAGCAATTACAACTCCCGTAGAAAAACGTAGTCGGTGATCTTGAAGTGAAAAGTCGACCGCTATCAACGTTAGCCACAATAGCTAACGATGCTAAGGTACAACTCTTACTTAAAAAACAGAAAATCCTCGAAATAATGTACATTTAAAGTTGATAAATAAAATACGCTGAACAATTAGACAGTTTCACACGTTCCACTTTGAATTATGCCCCCTTATTTAGAAAAATAATCAAACGGAGCCGTGACAACAACTGAATGAATTAGCTTCGAAATTCTAACTAATGTCCAAAGTGTGTTTACATAAAAACAAGTCGGGAGCCATTTTCTTAACAAAAATGAAGATCAAGTTGTGCATTTACCTCGGGTTTGCCTTGAAAAGAGGTTATTTTCTTGTTATTTCTGCTGTAATAATTCTGCAACGTGCGCTTGTCGCTCTTACAGCGCCTTTTGAGCCTTTTTCCTGCTACCCACAAAGCAACGAGGGGTCAACATAAGTGTTTCCTGTAGCGCTTACTGCAATGCATTGTGGGATATAGAGTTTTTTCTAACACAAAACGTAACCTTTTTAGGTCGGTACAAAAATGTATGATTGGCAAGAATGTAGAGCAGAATATTTTTATCTTATCATTTTTGAAAACAGTTGTAACTACATATTTTGCACATAGAACAATTGGTCAGCAGTTGGTGAAGGAGGTGAGTTTGTTTTAACACCCTGGGGAAGGAAAGTTATGATTTTATGGAGTGTTCCTACAGAGAACTTAAAAAAAAATCTACCTCCTGCACTTCCCTTTCCAGCTTTCCAGCTTTGTCAGTCATCATAAATACTTGAGAATTTTGACTGTCTTTCTATTAAACTCGATATAGAGCAATTGGTAAAAAATAAAATAAAATAAAAAATGTTGAGACAGAAACTGAGCTTTTAATATGGAAATCAGTTTGGGTTTTTTTGGGGGGCGGGGGGGTTGGAGGCCAAAAGGAGACAGGTTGTTGCCAGGCAATCTCCTGTAATGCGTTCCATTACCAGATACTCTTCATCATGGAGCATTGAGATTTAACTGAGAAGTGAACTGGAAAACTCAGTACATTTTTGTGATCTGCAGTTTTGAATAAATTCTTCAAAATTCATATGCAGCCATATCAGATTGCAGGTACGTTTCCCAAACTTTCTTTCCTCTGTTAACACTGATCTATTGTTTTAGTTCTCCTGTTGTATTTCCATGCCTGCTTTGTTGTTACAGTATGTGTTTATAGCTTTCTGTCTTGTCTGGATGCGCTTCCAAAAGAGACCTTTCATCTTAATGAGTTCTTTACTGGTTAAATAAAAGGAAAAATTAAATGACGAATTACATATTTTATTGGTAATAATTCAATGGCCCATATAAGATATAGAAAACCAGGAAATGAGATGCATTGCTGAACTCATTAACCATAAACTGGAGGTTTACTTAGCTGGAGATAGCTACTCATGTATGAATGGTAAACATGGGTCATTTTGCTTCCTCTGGAACCAACCAAGCTAGACTAAGCTCATATAGTGTTATTTTATTATAACTATACAAAGTGTGTTAGTCATGAACTACTTATTTTTTTTCCAATGCTGAAATTAGGCTTGGCAAAGTCATTTATTTAGGATGGATTTAAAAAAAAGCTTCAGTATAAATAACAAAAAAAAAAAAAAAACATCCAGAGAAAGGAACTTTTGATACAATAGCACTGATTTGCATCTTCATTGTGAAAGGACACAGCTATGGTTCATGGTTGACATTTACAACTTTATGAGATTCCATAAAGAGGCTGAATGGGATCCCATCAAGGTGCCATGTGAAACTTTTATTCTCTTGGAAAAAATAACATTTAAATCTGACATGACCACCTAATTTTCATGAAGCCTATCAAAACAAATTATAAAATAGAATTATTTGATCCATTTAAATACCACACATACATGACAAGGTTTGTCAAGCTACTGATATGCATAGGATTTGAATGCACACATATAGCACGTGTCGTATAGAAGCCAAGTAATGTTTATTTTGGGAGACGTGTGTCTGGGATTGCTATGAGGCACATAAAAGTCGCCTAATGTGGATTTTTGCCACAGAGGAAGGGGTTTTTAATGGGAAGGAGAAAGCATAATGGGATAATAAAAGACATCATCAAATGAACCTTCATTTGATTTTCATTGCATTTGGCTCATTGACTGGCGTCAGCAGCCAGGTTACTCTGTAAACACCTCTTGGATTGTAGTCTGTGGTCATGAGCATGGACTTTACTTGTGTGTATGTGTGTGTGTTTCTATTGTTAATTGTGTGTACAAGCCTGATTCAGAAAGTAGTGACCTAACACGTCTATAGAGAGTTCACAAAGTTCAAACAAACCTAATGTTTCATTAGGTAAAAGGTAACTGGCCTTAACTGGCCTTGGTATTTCAGTGCCTGTTATTTGTGTCACACAGATGCTGAACAGGTAACTGTTGCATGTTGCCTGGCAGTTATTTAATTATTGATCAAGCTACTGATATGCAAACATTTAATTACTGTAAAAAATGAATCTATTTAGGTTTTTATGTCTTACTCAAGAAACAGAGACTAATATCACTGATTACAATTCTGAATATAATTATATATGTTTGTAATATGCAGCCTATAAATGACATTATCCATGGAAGTGTTTGTGTGTTTGACAACAAAACATCAAACAATTGTTTTATTCATGTTTGAACAGAAAGGAAGCGTCTGATTACACATGACATGATCCAGCTTTCTAAGAAATGCTGTCTGAGTGTTTGAAAGTCAAAGTACAATGCATGACACGGTACAGTACAGGGTTAACTGAAGATTTGTACAGTTATTGACATCGGTGATAAAAATGTGTGAAAAGCTTCAGGTTACATTTGTTCAGTTGGGTGGAAAACATGTTAATAAATGTTTTTGTCAAAAACTTACAAAAACTTCCAAGCACCCTTGCTGTCATGACGTTTTACATCCTCTTTTTGCCAATATGAAAGTCTTCTTTTGTAACGTTTAGCAAGGTTTTGAGCCAACATTTACATATGGGGTGAATGAAAATAGGAAGTGGTTTGAATAATTGATCACTTAAGAAACTGATCATAGGTCCAATGGTAACTTTCTGTATGGGTTTGAAGCAGGACAGCTTTGGGTAACTGATTTTGTTGATACAGTATTTATTTAGTAAACCCATCTGAGTCCCAATGGAAAAAAAACAAAAACTTTGAGCATAGGCTTGGGTAGCACACACACTGCCTGATCAAAAGCTACATTTTTACATTTAGAGTAGTGAAACAATATATTTTTTTCACTTCTAAAATTTTTTTTATCACTGTATAGATTATTGTTTTGTTCACATTAAGATTTAACATGTTTGCTTTTTCAACATTTATTTTTTGAAAACAGACATTTCCATAGATGTCACTTAAACACGCAGAGAAAATGCAAGCATCAGCTCATATTGAAAAGCATCCTGCTTTAAGCATCTTTATGTTCATGTAGCCTGACCTTCAACTGAAATTTGGCTCATATAGAAAACAAAAGTATAAAGTAAATAAAAACAGGTCTTATGCTGCGAGAAAGAAATAACTATTCTGTTCAGTGTTTGACTTTTTGTTGATGTTGTTGAAGAAATTGTCTGCAGTTCGTACAGTATCAAGAGCGTCGTGGCGGTGGGGAAAAATGGATTTATGAACGTAAGTGTCATGACACCTCTGTTATGTCTGTAGAGTTGCAACCATCGGTCTTTTTTACGGAGACAGCTTGAACATTGACAAAATCAGTGCAGCCTCCTCTGTCTTTCAGCTCAAAAACATCTGCCGCTCCCTCGTCACATGAAGCAGATTCTGCACAAAATGCTGTGCTAGTGTTCTCCTGCTTCCCAGAGAAGGTGCCACTTTGCCCTCTGTATCCATTGCGGATGCAGCTGCTTGGCAGTACATCTTGATTCGAAGACCAATGGCTAGAAGTTCTGCGATTTACCTTGTATCTTGATGGATGAGTATCAGAATCCAGGATGTAGCTATTCACCATTGTGCCACATGTTGAAACCTCTTTACTCGTTTGGGATGTCCGTCTGATGCTGATGCAGCTGAAATCTCTGCTGTCAATACTCATCGTCCCAACCCCGTTGCTGGTTGCCTGCCTCAGAATGTACTTGTAAAAAATCTTCCAAAAAGTCTGTCTGAACTCCCTGATGCGGTAGGCGTAAATAAAGGGATTCACCACAGAGTTTGCATGGGAGAGGATGATGGCGATGTTCATCACCCAGATTGTTGGACGCTCACAGTCTTTGCACAGGTGGTTCAAGCAGTTGATGATATGCACAGGAAGCCAGCAGATAGCAAATAAGCCCACAATAATTGCCAGTGATTTGGCAGCATGCACGTCCTTCTGCAGAAAAGAATGGGAAGAGTTCGAGGATGAAGGTCTTCTTCCGGGAATAGGTGAGAGAGAAAACGTGATACTCATTCGACGGAGCTGCCTCCTCGCCACCAGAAAGATTTTGATGTAGATGACCAGCATGACCAACAGAGGGGTCAGCACAAAGCCAAAGAAATTAAAATAGGTCATATAGTCCAAAGGAACAACTGACTCAAAAAGGCATTGGGTCAGACCTTTTGGGCAGCTTTTTGTTTTTGAGCTGTGAAGTGTTGCGTTCTGGCCTGTGCAACAGAGGCAAAACAGATTTAATGTTAAAATCCATAGAAAGACTCTGAGAATGATATAGGATTAAAATGGGTTTAATTGGAAGCACAACACACAGAATACCAAGATTCATGAGTGTTAGTAGTTATCTTTTTACAAAAAATAGGCAAACCGCCCCCCAGATGATTTCAATTAAGAATCCAAGTTCAGAAAAAGGGAATATAGTTTAAGTATACATTGAGGATGTTTTGTTATATTTGGAGGCCATAAAACAAGCTAATAATAATTTGGCAACTAGACTAAAGGTCATCGTCCTTAGAATAGCCCTGCATGTATTAGATCTTTCCCTGCTTTAAAATCCCTGTTTCTCACAGAAATGTAAATTTTATCGTCTGAGGGGGAAAAAATGTCAAAATTCAGTGAAAAAATAATAATAATTTCAGCTACCCTAACTCTATATTTCAAAATGTCTTTTAATGACAGAAAAATATGAGTGACAGAATGAAAAATGGCTAAATTTGATCTCTCACCTGTGTTCCAACCAATTAGTGGAGTCATGCCGATCACAGCTGACAAAGTCCAGCACAGTGCTATGATGCACTTTGCTCTCAGCCCTGTTACCAGACTGTTGTACCTAAATGGTTGAACAGAGCACAAAGATACATCACTCAGAGAACGGGTCAATATTTGTCAATTTTAACTGGATGTGCACTTAAATCGAACTGCATTATTCATTTATTAAAACAAACTGATGGTTTCTTAACAGAAAATCATTACAGTAGTCAGCACACATTTACTTTTATGGCCTGCCTTTTCTATTTATGGGTTGATGATTAAA